ACGCGTGCCCGTGTGTATGCAAAATACTTTTACTTTCAAAGTGAACGCTTTCAGCGTGCTGCACCGACTGCGACCGAGGAAAAACAACTCCGCCGCCTCTTTAAATCACCGCGATCAATCTCCTCGTCTGACCGTTTGATCTCTTATCGAAACAATTTCGCAGCGGAACGAAGAAGAATATCACGTTGCGTTTCACGTTAAAAAATTCCCACTTACGAGCGGAGAAAGGCGTTGGAAAATTAGAATTCAAATCCGTGGAAAAAGAGGCGAACAAAGGAAAACAAGGGACTGAAAGGAACAAAACAGAAAAGGACAATTCTGAATTTTTGAATAAACGTTCGTCGTTAATTAGAACGAGAAAGCCTGAAGGATTCAAGTCCACAGATCGTGTTCACGAATGAAGAAAGAAACAGAATGATTATGATTTAAAGATGAGAACAAATTGACAGAAAGTGAACACAAAGGAGAAAAAGAAAGGAATAAAATATCGCGATTTAAAGATGAGCAAATTTTTGTTAAAAACTAACTACAAATAAGTACTTTTTTAATTACTACGATTCTGTTTGGCAAAGGAAACCGGTGTTCTCGAATTGGGGCAAGCGAAACGCGATTACAAACGTCAGATTTTCCACGATCCTCCTCATGGTGGTGCAATGAATCATCCGGAGGATCTCGAGCCCGTGTGTCACCGTGTCCACGCTCGTCTCACATATTATTTGAGGATCTTTTTTGCATAATCTCATGGGAAGAGGCACGCGCGCCCCGCTGGCCAAGTGGTGGGGCAATCGTGCCGCTTAAATACACTGCATCAATGACCGTTTCTTCCAGTTCACATTCAGCTGTCCGGAGAAGTTTCCAACGGGGGAAGGAAGAACAAGTTGTCGTTAAACGGAACTAACCAATAACATGGAGAAGACGTCGATAATTGGGACGTTCGTCATGGTGACCACGCTGGCGATGGTCATTGCTGTGGATCTACGTAAGATATCTATCGATTTTTTTTATATTCTATAGATTTTCGAATATCTGATCTTCCGTGGATAAAATCTTTCACGTTGATTGTGGAATAACAGAATCTGGAATTTTTCTATCTTCGACGCATTTGGGAATTTCGTGACTTTGAACGAATCTGGAATCTTTTGTCTTCGGTGTTGATCGTGGAATAACGAAATCTGGAATCTTTTATCTTTGATTCTTGAATTTGGATCCTTAACGGATTCTAGAACAGTAGAATCTGGAATATTTTTTACCTCAAATGCTGATTGCGGAATAATAGAATCTGAAATATTTGGTCTTCAATGGATTCTGGAATATTTTTATTCTTCATGGTTTCTGGAATAACAGAATCTTGAATTTGGATGCTTAACGGATTCTAGAACAGTAGAATCTGGAATATTTTTTACCTTAAATGCTGATTGCGGAATAATAGAATCTGAAATATTTGGTCTTCAATGGATTCTGGAATATTTTTATTCTTCGTGGTTTCTGGAATAACAGAATCTGCAATCTTTCGTCTGCAATGTTGATTGTGGAATAATGAATTCTGGAATATTTTTTACCTCAAATGCTGATTGCGGAATAATAGAATCTGAAATATTTGGTCTTCCATGGATTCTGGAATATTTTTATTCTTCATGGTTTCTGGAATAACAGAATCTGCAATCTTTCGTCTGCAATGTTGATTGTGGAATAATGAACTGTAGAATTCTTCATCTTTAACGTTGATTCTCTGCAATATTTCAAATTCTCAGGGGTAGTTCTGGAATATTTTCGTTCCTCATCACCTCGATCCAGGTGAACACATATTGCAGTACATCGAAATCGAAGGGAGATTAATAACGATATACACTACCGGCCAAAAGTTTGGAATCACCGAGCATTGCAATTTACAGAAAAATTTCCAGAAAAAAGTCAGCGACTTTGAGAATTTTTTATCGTTAGAATCAATTGATATAAGACAAATTGATAAAAGTGGAATTGAGATAAACTTGAAATGTATAAAAAAATTAGCAGCAGATTTAATATTGATGAAAAGTGGGAGGTGATTGGAAACTTTTTGCCGGTGGTGTATATTAGAAATAGAAGTGTGAAAAAGAAAAATTAACACGTCCCTTCTATAACAGAAGAAAATACCCTCATAGTGAAATTTCATAGAAAGCTGATACCATTCCTCAGAATTCAGAATCGAACAGATTCGTTTAAAGGCTTGCAAACATTCCCTAAGAAATGGCGAAGAAATTGAAGCAACTGCGATCCAAAAAAAAAACACGGCAATCGAGGTCAATGTCGGCAATGCACAAATCCTAACGCGTACGAGGCCGCGGCTTATTAAATCAACATCGAAATGGTCCGATTTCCATGGATCGATCGATCGGAAAGCCATTAGAGGCTGACAGGACACAGCTCTGAAAGAGAAAGTCAATTCTGTGCTTCAGCTTGACTTCGTAACTGCTGCACTTTATCGGATCCATTGCAATGCAGCTACCGCTTATGCAATACTACCTGCATGCGACATTTCTTCTCTTTCCCACTTTTCCTTCGTCTTCTTCAATTTTTCCTTTCATTTTATTACAGCGAACAACTGGAGGATATGCGACAGATCGCTTCCGTTGGATCGGTACAGCAAGTGCGTCTCAGACTCGGCTAGAGATGCTATTGTTTCATTGGCTGGAGGTGAGAGATTTATGTTGCATATATATATATACGTAACCTCGGAGTACTGACATTCATTTTTTGTCACGTTAATATGGCAGTATTGGTTTCTTTTTTCACTAACTTTATTAACATCGACGTTAAAATTGTAAAAATTGTTTACCTTATGAGTGAACTGATAGTCTGTTTATTCTAAGTTCAGAACATATTACTGAAGAAAAATTTACTCAATCTAATGACACTTTTAATTTTGAAGAAATCTGTTCTTAGACGCCGACATTTCTTCTTCAATTTATTGTACAGAATTAAACACATATTAATTTTTATATTATGACTTTCATTTTAATTGTTTTTTGGCAAAAAAATGCTTTCGAATTGTGGTATCGGGGCCTCCATACCCAAAAGTAGGAAACCGGCACGGGAGAATAGAGAGGGAGTGGTTGGCGTAGCGCGCAAAGCCGAAGGTCCCCGGGTTCGATTCCCGTTTGGGTCCCTCAGTATTTTTCCGTCATCGATTCCTACAAATGGGGGCTCATCCGGGATGGAGGCATCTACGGCTGCACGAAGTCCCCTGGCGCTGTGAGATGAAAACATCTCGAGGGTTACACGTCTCCCAAAAATGCGTTGTTTCAGCTGTGTGCCACTGTGTTGGGGGAGTGTGCCCGAAAGTGTCGAGTTTGTGTTGCACTGAGGACATTCGAGGGCGAACGTCAGTTCAGGATGGCCAAGTGTAGTATCGGGGCCTCCATGCCCAAATAGGAAACCTCGAAGGGACAATAGAGAGGGAGTGGTTGGCGTAGCGCGCAAAGCCGAAGGTCCCCGGGTTCGATTCCCGTGTTGGGTCCCTCAATATTTTTCCCTAGGTTCCTACAGAATTATCTCGTGGTCGGGCGTCTCCGAATAGGATGTAACTTCTACCAGCAAACTGCCAACTACGAGTTATCTCGTAGCTTGAACGTGTTGAAGTGAAAATATAACTTGGAGCATTGAATCTTGCATGTCAGTATTCCAAGCTTAACACGTTAAGCGCCGTGTCAGTCACCGGCGACTGACAGTATACTTTTCGTTAGTCGCCTTCTGTTTATAGTTCGCATGGCCCACTTGACGGCCAAGTGTGGCCTGAACGGAACGGTAAGCAAAACAGGCTGGGCGTTTAACGTGTTAACCTTCTACCTATGCTACATTTTCGATTCAGTCTTTCACCTAGAATCACCAACTTCCCTCTTGTACCATCAATTACAAGACACCCTGTATGTTCTCAATAATTACTATTGTTGTCTATTATGTCGATTGATATGAAAAAGTAAATTTGATTAAACCTCGTTTAAGATGCACATACATATTCCTGAGAATTCTTAAGATCTTCTCAGTGAAAAAATGAGACAGTAAGAAAAATAAGCAAAAAGTGCAGAAAGTGTAAATTACATTTACATAAAACGGCTGTAACTAATTATCGTTACTTCAGCTTAGTTATCTGTAATTAAATGCAAAATTATCGAATCAATTGCGTCTATGCAAAATGATTGATATGCAATTATAAGTGATTTGCGTCATTTGAATCGTACATACGACTGAATCGCAATGAATCATTTGAAAAACTTTCTGAAAATACAATTTTCAACATTGTAAAAGAAAATGATAGTCAGACGTTTTTTTAAGTAGCGTTCAACGGTTGTTACTATTCCCTCGATTATGTAAACCATTGTAGCTGACCGATCGTGGACCCCTATGCAAATGAAATTTTCATTGAAAAACTGATAGGTACGTCCGTCATTTGTACTATTCATTGGTGATTTTCTAGCGACAGGTATCTGTATCCTTTGTTCTCTTCATTTTGTAAAGCAACAGCACGATAAAATTCTCTTAAAATTTTCCGTCATTCTGTATCAATTGCTCAATCTTGAACTCACTTTCTCAATTTCAACGACGACTGTGATCAAATCTCGAAGAAATTTTCCGCAATTTCAAAAGGGAGAAGAAATTTTCTTCCCAGAAGAAGATCTCGAGATAAAAATTTTTCCTCCGATCTGAATTAAACGGAGATCGGCATCTGCCCCCCTTCGATCTATCGAACGCGTGCTGTTGATTTCACCGGAGCAATGCACGCTGCGTTTCCTCGAAACTGGCATCAGTTTCTCCGACATAATCACGCGCAGCAATTTCCAGAGGTTCTCCTTGACTCCAGCTGGCCGATCCGTTCGCTTTCTGGGCCTTCGATTAATATCTACCTGCGTGTACGACTAATTCCTTACCCGCGTGGCTAACCGACACTGCCTTTTTCTATCTTTGCCTAAACATCTGATCTTTAAGAAATACGGGAAAAACGTTCAAAGCTGCAAATTATGAAAAAGGAACTCACTGCTGAAAGGGTTAACGGTCACACCACTTAATGTCAGATATTAATTGTTTTAACGCTGTGTAAAATGAACGTTCCCTTGCAGGTTTGAAGAGCTTCAAGATTCTACCGATTGAGCCATTGGCCGTGGACAGCGTGAAAATTGGCGAGTCTCAAGGATCGGTCACATTGAGGCAGGAATATCGGAATATTAAGTTGCACGGTTTGACGAAGAACCTCGAGGTGAAGAATTACAAGTAAGTTCGAAATATCTGCGTCATTTGAAGTTCATAGAGGACACCGTGTATAGATTGCTTCTCGGTAACTCAGTTTGAAAGGTTGAATCGTAAAAGTGACGAAGAGAGAATTACAGAGAAACAGCACGTAACTAAAATGAATTCAATAAAAATAACCAACTGTTATGACGGTTATGCAACCATTTGTGAAAGAATGCGATCTTATGCTGTGAGAATCCGGTGAATATGGGCAAGATAAAGAGTAAAAGTGGAAAGTTTTCATGCTGAAGGAATTTGAGGCATTCGAGGTTCGATAAAATTCGCAAATTTTGAAAGGGACCACTCAAAATCCTCAACCGAGTTGAAAATGCTCAAACTAAGTGGCTCAGAATTTGCTCAAAATGCTTGTTAAAAATACTCAAAGTTATTCAAAGTATGTGACTCGAACTTTGCTTAAAATGTCGGCTCAAAATATTTGCTCAATGTGCTCAAAGATGCTCAACGATTCAAATTGTTCAAAACCCCGGGCTCAAAATATTGATGAAATTTCTCAAAATTGTGCGACAATGTTGCTACTCAAAAGGCCCGATGTAAATTCGCTCAAAATACTCAAAACACGCGTTGCTCAAAATTACTTAAAACTACGCGCTCAAAATTTCTCTGTAAAATTGCATCGAAAAATTCTCAAAACTTTTGCTCAAAGTTACTTGAAACGTTGCTCACACGATACTCGAAACACCTTAATACGTACCGCTCAAAACAAACCACTTTTCACCACTTAAATATGATCCGAATGTTTCGCAAACAGAAACGATTGTCGTCCAGCATCTGCAGACAGAGATCAAAGTTTCACACTTTAATACGCTAAAAGCGCGTGATAAACAACAGTTGAGAAAAAAAGTGAACGTTCAATTAAGTCCAAGGCGTGTAACATTCAGTAATAATGCTGGTTTTCTTTCAGCATCGACTTGGACAAGTGTCTATTGACGTCGGATTCGTTCAATCCGCAAGTGGACTTCGTCGCCGATTACAAAGTCGATGGCAGAGTGTTGCTATTACCTGTCAGAGGATCCGGAAAATCGAACATCACTATGTGTAAACACCTATATTTTATATTCACTATCGTAACGAACAAAAACCATTCGTAATTGTCGTCACAATTCTTAGTCACCCTTTTTTCCAGTTGTCAATTGAATATAAACATTTGCTTTCAGATGACTTGAAGTCGCACAACGATATATACTGCGAGAAGTACGAGAAGAACGGGGAAACCTATTTTAAAGTGAAGAAGTTCATTGTGAAATTCAACCCTGCTCGTGTGACTCTGCGATTCGAGAATCTTTTCGACGGCGACACTGTCCTAGGTACTCATTTCAGTTCACTAATTAGTATCTTTTTAAGAATTTTTCGGAATTCAATTTCTAGGGGTCCTTTAGACATTTTCATATTTTTCAGCAAATGTTTTTGAAATTTTCTGAAATATATTTTTCGCGACTTCTTGGAAATTTCATGGAATATCTTTCTCGGTGACTTTTCGAAAACTTTCTGGAATCGATTTTTTCGTGATTCCTTAGAATTTTCCAGCAATTTTTCTAACACCCTATTTAACAACGCAACAGTTCCGCCGCGCAATCGTCATTCCCCAGACGTGACGCGAAAGGATTATGCGTGGAGCCGGTGATTAGAATCGTTATTTACGCGGTAAGCTCCAATAAGGATGATCATTATTCCGCTCGCAAGAAAGAAATATGATCGTTCGTTCGTTCGTTATCCAGCGAGGTCGTCGTTTCGAACAAAAGAAGAATAATGCATCGCGTGTTTCTGTAACATTGATCGTTTAGAAAATATCACTAGTCTAGCTTGACTCAGGACTGGCTGCATGGAAATTCGAAGATAAACGTCCTAGCTTCTGCGGTTCTGCATCGACCACAAACGCCTCTGACTTTCTGTACAACAGGTCGAACCGTGTCTGAGAATTTGTTGATTGTATTACGTCACGTTTGACCTACATTTCGTCGACCAAAGTGAATTTGTATCAGGTCTAGGTTATACACACGTTAGATCTGAATAATTACTGATTAACCCTTTGGTGCCGGAATGAACACTTCCCTCCTTAAAATTTTGAATTGACCTGTATATAAAAATTTTAATTTTTTTCTGGGGATATTAACTCCCAAAGTGAAGAAAAAATTGTATATAAAAATTTGATGCAACCAAACTCGGTGGATTTTTTTTACGAAATATTAACTTCCAAATGAAAATGAAGAAAATTGGGAAAATTAAGGAAAAATTTCTCAGGTTTCAAAGAGTTAACATCCACCTTGAAACGACATCATTTTTATAATATCGACTTCCTGAAATTTGGCCTAAATTGTAAATTGAATATTTTATCTATTTTATTTATTTTTTTTATAGGGGAACAAATGAACCGTTTCATCAATGAAAACTCAGATCTGCTCTTCAAGGAACTCCAAGCACCCTACGAAGAAACGTTTGGACTAGTGTTCGCTTCGATCAGTAACAATATCTTCAGTCGCGTGCCATTTAACAAAATTTTCCCACCACCGTAAATTAATTTTCATCGTCGAGAAATTTTCATAAGAGAATAAGGACAAAAGTTTCCAGGACGTGCCAAAAATTTGTACATAGCATTCGTGCGTGAAATTGACGTCAGCGCCACCTATTCACTCACGTTGTTACAGCACAATAATGTAGACACCGTTTTTATTTTTAAATTAAAAACAATTTTTAATTGATTTCTATACATCTGTTTCGCGAGTCATTCAGAACCTTTCTCTTGCTCCTTAAAATTCCATTTTATGATGTAATTATCAAATTACAAAATTAGATAAATATATAATAATACATGATACTTACAAAAATTAAAAAATTATAGCGTAATTATGGGAAAGCTGTCATTTTATTTGAAGCTTGTTGCTGTTTACAAGAATAATTTATTTTCTTCGATAATGAACGACACGTTGATTAATGTTACCCGCCAATCAAGATCGTTTTATGATAACTGAATGTGGAAGGTCGTATTTCGAAAGCGACAGTGGAATAGCTGTTTCATTGAGGAACAGGTAGAGCAAGTCAAAACTCGTATTTCCAAGGATTCAAAAATTCTATCGTTGTGTTTTGTTTAAACGAAGACCTTCGTTTCCTGTTTGACCGGAGTTCAGTTCATTTGTATTCGAAACTGCATTGTTACGTTACGAGGATAATTTTTTTATTTCGTAGAAATATACTAAGTTTTCTATAAATCGTATTCAGTTGTTTGCTTTGCGCGGCAGTCATTCTGAAATCGCTTTGGAACAGTTTCGAAAGTCTCGATCGATATCGAGTTGAACGATAATCGAACGAATCGATTTCTGTTGAACGTTACCGGTCGATAACAATATTACGAGAATGTTTATATTTCAAAATTTTAAAAGTATTTCGCTTAAAAAGTTTTTAAAAAAGATTTTTTTATTCAAATAATAGATTCTTCATGCGATTAAATTATTTTTGAAATATTATTGCAAAGGATAACATTTTCAAGTTTCTATATTATCGACCGTGATAATATCAACCGATCGGCTTTTTCATGCTTATTTTTTATCATCCGAGCAACAGAAAATTACTTCCTAAAATTCCTACAGATTTCTTTACCGAACGATAACATTCAAATTGCAGTCTATAGAGAAGAGTAAAATTTATGTTACTAATAATAATGTAAACTTAGCTTTTAAAACTATTTACAATATTTTACACATTATAATACGTAACTACAACAAATTTTGTACCTAAAATAAAATTAAAAAACAACTCACATGTTGACCCAGACGACAAATAAGACAATATCCTCGCGCACCATTATCCGTAAGCCTTTACGTTCCACAAAAGCGTATGTAGGTCTCCGGACTGGCAAATTGAGCAATTCCGATGCCGAATCGATAATGAGCCCATCCGTGTACCTCATTTTTCCGTAGCGTGGATTGTATCTGCTACGGTGCGTCTTTTTTGGCAACGACCACTTTTTCCTCCCTTCCTTCCACCATCGCGGCGGCGTGTTTTTAGAATCACCTCGCGCCATGGGTGGTGTCGAACTCTGAGACAAGGATACAGTACACCCTGATGCGAACCCGCCATAAATCGTGCACGGAAGAGAATGAAAACCGCTGGACGTCTCGATCCACCCTGGAAAAAAAGTTTTCCGGGATGGGTCGACTACGTTTACCCGATTAAAAACATAGAATCGATCGTATTTCCTGGTATTAATTAAATTCCTGGATTTATGGAGGCTAACAGCGTCTTTAGTATAGCAATTTTGAACAGTAATATCTTCCAACTTCTATCTCATAACAATTACCTAACGACATTTATGAAAGCGAACAGTGTCTTCATAGCAATTTCGAAAAGTACTATCTTTCAACTTTTATCTACAGCATTAACTTCAAACTACACAAGCTTCTTTAAATCAGTCTTACGAGGCTCTTCTAATAGCGTCTATTAGACGTCACTTGACTCGCTGTCAATCTTTCGAGTAGAATTGCTATTATACATTTTATTTTCCCATATGATTCACATAAAATTTCCAAATTTCACGTTATTATTAGTTGTTATCTAAATGCTTTACAAATTGTTCAAAACAGCTGTTCTAATGTGTATACCTTGTTCGGTTGGTAATGCCTAACCTAGCCGCATAATTCCAATTCGAACAGGATATATTCTTACCCAGTAAACACCATACAGCAGCCGTTCACCGGTAACAAATGGCCGCCTATCATCTCGCGACAATGCGGCTGGAACATTCGGTGGCGGGCAAGCGGAATCGAACGGGCATCTTATGCATCTTCTATGGCAGTGCAGTTACGCGGCCTGGCGGTTTCGCAACGCTTCGCGGAAGGTCGCCGACGTAAAGGATTGTCTGCTGCTCTAGGCCGTTGAAACGCAGGTGTTTTCCGACATGAACGTCGCGACAAGGCTGCCCACGATGCCTGCGATATATCCGGTTGTCCGCGTACATGTGCGATTTGCCTTTCGCAAGGCCGTCTTAGAGAGCAGCAGCGCCACTGTTAGAAAGCGACAATTCGAAAAGACGCGTGCACACACGCGTGGCACACCTCTGACGGCTTCTGGACGGGCTCGATACATTTTCTACGATTTTTCACGCGAACCGAAGGGACACACGCTATAACTCGTCGTTGATTCTTATTGTCACTTTTGCGGAAACACTTTCGAACGCAATCACACATTCGTTGCGTTCGCGATATCTTGTTTACATGAACGTGCACGCGCGTATTTTTTTTTTTACGGTTTCGACGAACGAGGTTTTATGGTAATGCAGCGTTTGATAGTATCTAACGAGGAGACAGGGAAATCGCGACGGTAAATTGGATTAGCGGAGGCGTGTGTTCACAGTTGCGTCACTTGAGATATGATTTTTTCAATGAGCCCGAGTGTTTGTAGAATGAATAACAGAGGTTCTTAGATTTATTTGCTTTTAGAATTAACTGGTTAGTGTTGTAACTATTTGGGCTGATAACGAGACAGATTTATTGTGCCGGATGTTTCACCAAAAACACGATGAACTTATTATCCCGCCTGATAAGGAAGATTCTCAATTGTTCTGTCGCGTTGTAATTGATAGATACACAATGCTCTAATAGTAAGGAAACTTTATGGAAGATAACAGTTGTTTCAATCTATTAACGAGGGATGACGAATTGACACGTCATACATATTCGATTGTTTCAACGAACGATACTGGTAAATTGAACATACACGTATCACTATCATAGTCGTGTTAGAAATAAGTTAATTCCCCAGTTATCAAGTGAATGCATCCACAGTTAATAAATAGGTCTGACGATGTTTGTACATTTTCCACTTTTGTACCACCATTATCCACCCTTCTCATTTCTATGTAAATAAAAGGGGGCACGTATAGTTTACATGAGAAAAAAAAATCTGAAAATTGAAACTGGTTTCAACAACATAATCTGTTAAACGAAGTTCCCGTTTAAAGTGCACCCCGAGGATCTCTAGCAAACACGCATTCGTATGCGAGGCCACGTCCGCGAGACGTTTCGTCCGTCGTAACATAGAAATCTGTCCGTTTCGTTCCGCGAATTCGGTATTCCGAATGTCACTTGTCGAAATTTCGCGGCTGAAGGCTACCTGCGTACTTTCCCACCTTTTTGTCGCAATCCACGCGCCTGGATTTCTCGCTTTGACGAGCAAGAAAATCGAAACCGTGTCCCTTTCTCTCAATTACCTGTTCCACGTCCAAATACGTTCCAACAAATATAGTCATGAAATTAAATCCACCATTAAGGATCAAATAACCCAGTAATATGGCGTTTACTAAAAAATAACCTCCAAAAGACACTTCAAGCACAGGCAGTGCAGTGCACCTAACCTTCAATTTGCGCGATACTCGAATTACACAAGTAAAAGCAACAAAATTTTATTTCAATATAATTTACTTTAAGTATGTTATACAACATAGATATGCAGAAAATATACTCACACAAATATAGGAATACGTCTCCCATAGAAACGAGAGGGTTAAATATTTATAAATGAAGGGTTAGGTGCACAAAGATGTTCCATCGGTTCGTGAAAGTTAAACGTCCTCGACCAACCACGATAACACAAAAATCGTAACCGAACGAAAGAGTCCAAGTTTGAAGGATAATATCTCCGCCCACGGTGCCCGACTCAATCTGCATTTCGATTAGTCCAAAGTCCGAGCCGACCGCCCGGAGACACTAATCGCAACTTTCACCTTTCCGCATAATCGCAAATCAGACGATCAACGAGTGTAAGCACTAGCAGCAGCCATGTTGTTTACTCCCGTTGAAAAAAAATATGGCCGCATGTCGTTCCGAAATAAATCCACCTATGACCATTAAGGTTGCCACAATTTTCCATCAGGAAGCAATTCGACTATGGCTGACTAGCATCTAGGGAATTTGCATAATGAAAATTTCTCTTCCTTCAATTTACAATAAAGACCGCTCTCTTCGACTGAGTCACACAATCTAGGATTGTACTTAATTTAGAATAACTTCTTATTAAAAAAAAAAAAAACTATGAAACCAATACTAAAAAGAAAATTTTTCTTGATCGGTTTCAGAACACCGTGCTTGCTCCAGCAAGGGCCTGGGTCGTTTCATAATCGATCTAACCGCGAGGATCAACGGTGGTGCACGCCACGCGGCACGATCCCCTGGCCGGATTTCTCGTGCCTCTATTTACCCGTGGTCGTCGTTCGTTCTTCCCGTGGTCTCGCGGCTTGCAAAGAGGAGAGAAGAAGGAAGGCAGGAGAGGCCCGACCGAGGCAGCAGCCAGCCTAGGCGTGAGTCATCGTGAGAGACAAGATCTCGAGTAAGGAGGCGGCCTTGATGCCGCAAAACTGTTCGTAATATCGGTACGGGTCCATGGATCGCTGGTTTCGATCGTCGTCTTGCCATGGCAATATCGCCGCTCTGCTCGCCCGCACCACCCCGCTTCGACTCGACAGAAAACCGCTTCGCGGAATCGACCGTTCCACCTAGGGATCTCTCGTCTGGTACAAATTAGAGAACCTGGTGCTATAAGGTCAGTGAATGTTTGATGTGACTTGATGTTTTGGAAGAGCAGATTAGGTTAGGTTAGGGGCTTGTTTTATACGATACATATTTTCGTGGAGAACGTAGCATTACGTTTAATGAGAGAAAATTTGCAAA